TTACATACTGCTAATGCTTGTTAAAGAACCACGATAGCTGATTATAATCGTAGTTGATTGGTTAGTTCTGTCGATTGAACGAATTATTTAGGTTTAAATGCTAATCAACATTGACATGAAGCAACGAAAGTTCACAGTAACAGATTAACATAGGCGATGATAAAAATGAAAAAAATAAGTATAGAATACAACAATAAAGATTATAGTGATAGGTTGCGTTATTCGAAATCTTGCTCACCAGTGTATATCACCAACGTAGATGATCTATGTCGAAATGATTGGAGGCCGACTCGAGTTAGACGTGAATAGTGTGACGAACCAACTAACGTCGAAATCACACCTCGTGGTCAGCACCTTACGTGGACTACCCCCATTGACGTAACAAGGTACTATAGATGCTTTGAAGACTGTACAACACAAAGGACGTTATTACAGAAATATATTAGTTAAGGTAGATACAGGCGAAAGTAAGACCACTGCCGCATGGGCCAGTCCATGGCGTATCATTAACTAATGCGCGTTGCTTGTACATGACCTTGGCAGGGAGCGATGACCTGTTCGACATTCAGTGATCCAACTGCCGGATGATTTGGCTAGGGCTCAGTGACATTTCACTGACCCTACATTACCTAATCTGACATAAATGTTCATTAACTCAAACCCCTAAATCACATTAAGGCGCATAGATAAATTAGCAATGTGAATAGATAAAAAGATGATGTACTAAAGTAACAATAATAACGGAAATGACCGATTATTCAGGAACCGTTTCAATTAGACAGGATTAGATAAGGAGTTTTGGAACCTAAACTTTCTAGAGTTATTATCAGATGCGACCGGGAGACTCAAGACTACGTCACATTTTCATCAAGAACGATTGTCATCAGTATATTCCGAGTCAATAAGCGAAGTACTTGGCATGCGGTCAATCCCTGAAAACTGGGTGGATAAAGTGTGAGTTTTAGGACGGTGTCTGTAACTAGATTAAATAAAATGGGAATTGTTGGACCTGTGTCTTCCCTAACTTTCAGACTTCAGTTAATGAGAGCCATCATTAGTGTAACTACAGCTGTCTACATATCATATTAAGCCTCCTCAGGAATAGCCCTTTATCTCGATAATTGATAAAATGCTAGACTAAATATTTTCTTGACCTTTGGTGCTCGTTTCTAAAAGGGCAGTGATTTTTGCACTTGTCGTGATTATCCTTGCTTTGTGTACTTGTTGCACCAAAAAGCATTATTGATCTACTTTAACCAAAAGTACTTTGGTTAAGGTTTGAAATTTTTGCCAAACTTTGTCCTGAGGTGCCTTATTTTACTCATTGACTGACACTCGTGTCCACATTGTGATCATATTGTGTTTTAAACTTTTTTAAATCAAATTACAATGGTTGGTAAGACTTATAAATGTGGACAACCAAACTGCTTGTTCCCCGTTGAGGAATGAATGCAGTGCGATGAATGTAGAATAGGACAAAAGGTGAATTCTGAAAGTCCTCAGAAAAACCGCCTCTTGAAGGGTGAATTTGCCACGGTTGAAGAAAGAAACCTGATTCTAGGTAACTCACGTAAACTAATTGGATCCGGAATATAATTCCGTGAGAATCTCAGCCTAGCGGATCGTTTTAAGAGACGAGCTGCAGAAGTGGAAATAAATGAGCATCGCCGAAACGGTGAAAGAAACCTCGCTCTTAAGGATTTTCAAATTGTAAAAATTTGGGGAAAAACGATCCCCAAACTACTCTGGTTGGTAAGGGATGTTCTCCACAGACTTAAAGGTATGCTACACAAATGCTCGCAGCCTACTAAATAAAATGGCGGGGCTCAAGTCAGTGGTGGATAAAGAAAAGCCGGATGTTATTGCTGTCTCAGAAACTTGATTAACGTCAGAAGTATTAGATAACGAGATTCAGTTGACTGGTTTTTTTAGCCAGCAGATCTGGTAGAATAAACCGTAGGGGAGTTATCCTGTACGCGAAAAGTACTCTGATTATAAGAGTAGCTGAGACAGTGGCACATGTATTTCGGACAAGTGAACTGGTGCGATATAAGCTAAAATGTAGACGGCAACATATTGAATTAGTTGAAGTATATCGCAATCCAGATTGTGTAGATCATATTCTTCTGGGTAAACATAGTCCTGGTGTAACAAGGGTAAAAGCCTTGTAGTAGGCGACTTTAGTGCCCCTTATATCAACTGAGTTAACTTAGAAGTAGGGTCATCGATAAAGTCGTTCGATTGAAAACTGTTAGCAATCTCGATTTCATAAGCTTTATTCCAACATATTAGAAACCCTTCAAGATATGAATTAAGAAACTCTTCTTCTCCTTTAGATTTAGATTTCACACACTGTGATGACGTTGGTCAAATGACTTTCCTCCCACCACTAGGGAGAAGTAATCATGCCGTCATCTTATTCAAATTCATGGCTGGGATGACCTGTCAAACAGTTGCGCCGGCCCGTCCTAATACATGGAAGGCAGATATGGAGGCAATAAACTCTGCAGCATCGGCTGAAAACCGGGAAATTGAATCAAGGGCATCAGCATAAGAGGCATGGAATCTTTTTAGGCAGTTATACAATCGGGTAACTCAACCATACATACCGTGGACAGTTCCAAAGAAGAAGAAGCATGGCCATCCTCGGATAGGCCGGAGTATCCGACGTTTACTAAGACAAAAGAAGAAATTTTGGGATGTTGCCATCCGCCTTGGCACGGCAAGCACGATGGAACGCTACATATCGGTAGGAAACGAGTGTATAACAAAAATTCGGGAAGCTCAAAGAAAATATGAAATGCAGGTGGCATAATCTGTACTCAAGCAGCCTAAGAGACTATTCTCGTACATAAATTACAGAACAAGGATGCATCATTGGACTCCCAACATAATTAAAGAAGGGAGTGAATCTGAAATGATAGAGGAAGATAAAAAATGAAGAGGCCATGACTAAACATTGTGTGGCAGATTTCATTCAGGAACCTCTTCTGGGCGAAGAACTAGATGCAAATACAAAGTCAACAAACCGCTTGCTCACTATGGACTTTGATCAAGACGATGTGTTTAAGGCTCTTAGCACATTAGACATTGAAAAGTCAACAGGACCAGATGAACTACACTCCAAAATCCTGAGACATTGCACAATATATTGCAGCCCCACTGACTGTAATATTCAATATTTCACTTGACCAAGGTGTGTTACCTATGTACTGGAAGGATGCAATCGTCACTCTATACATAAAACAGGACCAAGACAACTTCCATCGAACTACAGACCTATCAGCCTCACCAGTGTTGTAGCTAGAATATTTGACAGAATAGTCAAAATACCATAATGACATTTGTGGAGACCAACAACATGTTAGACAGCGAACAATATGGTTTCAGAAAGGGTTTGTCTTACACAACAAATCTCCTTATAGCAAGGGAGTCTTTAATAAAAGCGCTGGACAACGGGAACTCAGCGGATGTTGTCTACATAGACTTCGGTAAAACATTTGACAAGGTGCCAACAAATAAACTGCTATTGAAGTTGGAAAATCTCGGTATTGCCGGACCTCTCTTAAAATGGATTAAGGATTTCCTAGTAGGTCGTAAACGGAGAGTAAGAATAAATCCCAATTGCTCCATCTGGAGACCAGTACTTAGTGTAGTGCCTCAAGGTTCCGTCCTAGGTCCTTTACCTTTTATAATGTGTGTAAATGATCTTCCAAGTATAGTACAGTCTCCAATGTTATTGTACGCTAACGATGTAAAGATCTGGCGAGCAATAACCGGAGATACAGACGCATGTGCTCTTCAGGCAGACTTAAATAATATGATTAGCTGGTCTTAAGAGTGGCTGATGCTTATCAACGCGGCAAAGCGTGTCTACATGCATAATGGGGACTCGAAGGTTAATAGGTACAACATAGGGGAAGTGCATGTATTCGTGGTCCAGTTTCATAAGGATCTTGGGGTGACAGTGAGTCATGATCTTAAGACGACGGCCCATTGCCAGGAGGTCGCAGCTAATCGGTCTAGAATCCCGTGGGCTTTAAGGCTGACATTCACTAAGTTAGATACTACCATGTTCACCACAGTATATACATCCTTAGTGAGAACTAGGCTTGAGAACTGCGTTCAGGCTGAAAGCCCCTGTCTAAAAGGTGACTCGGATATCCTGGGAGAAGTACAGAGGGTAGCTACCCGTGCAATTGCAGAAGTACGGGGTTTACCATACAATGAACGAATTGAAAATCTGGACCTCTTTACTCTGTCCTGTCGCAGACTAAGGGGCGATCTAATTTTGATGTATAGAATAATAAGAAACGATTTTGGACCTAACATATCCTCTCTTTTTCTTCTCACTAGGCCGGGACATCTCAGAGGACATAGCAGGCGAGTAGAAAAGCCAAGAATGAACAAACTACCCGCGGCATACAGGTTTTCACACCGAGTCATCATTACTTGGAACCTGTTACCCGAAGCAGTGGTGTTTGCACCTTCAATTGTCACATTCAAGAGAAGACTGGACACTCATAGAAGCATACTAGAAAAGGAATAACATGGGCAGTAGGCCTTCTGTCCTTGCTACACAAATCTGAAATCTGAAATCCTTTCATCCTGGAATTAATAACTGAGTTTTCTCGCTTTGATTATTTTTGTACGTCCAACAGTGGACTGATGGCATATTTTCTACTCATCGACATGAATCAAGTAAAGATGTTCCATACTGTCTGAGATGAGTTATACAACTTTGCAGAAGTCCTTAAAGGATATACTTGATATTCCCATAATACTTTATGTAGCACTTCGTTTGAACTGACCAAAAATTCTTCTATTTTCACCCATATTTAAGTACATAGTTACATTACTGAGAGAAATGACGATCCATGGCTGCTAGATAGATAAAAGTGTTAGTCGGAAACTTCTTCCATGTATAACCATTTGAAACTGTATTGTACATCGAAATAGTTTGAAGGTCAGGGCCTTACTTCCAATTTTTGCGCTTAGATATGGATTTCATCCAGGATCTTCGGCAATCAGAATCCAAAGGGCCAAGCCCATCTATCTTGGAAATATTTGATGTTCTGTGTAATAATGAGGGAGGGGACTGTTTTGAGCGTCCACTCGGTAAGTATTATGTAGTCGTCCCCAATTGGGGAAATCTCTGAAATTTTTGGGGATTTGTTCCATTTCCCAAAACTTTCTATTGCGGCTTCACCAAGATTTTCTCCAAAATAGTCAGATTGGGCAAGCAACCAACAAAGGGCCTTTTGTTGAAATAACCCTGGGATATTCCATTAGAAAATATCGGGAAAACGCGCCAGAATGTCAGCTATTTTGCCCGTCATGGAAGGAATAATCAGTAACTTCCCCTTCTCACGGGCTTATGAATCCGATTTGAAACTTGGGGCTCTCGATCTCCCAATTATGTGATAATTTTGGAAATTTCCTTGTGAGATGGACGAAATTCCCCTAATGTCTATGCATATTTTGTAATTTTGGAGGTTTCTTTAAGCTCAGTCAAAATTTCGAGGAAAACGCAACTAAGTTTTCGATGCAGCTTCTACGAAATTTGCCAAAGTTGGCAAGTTTTAACTAGATGATACCACTGGACTGGTATAGGTGGAACGATGTTAGGGCCTGTGACCTAATGGTTAAGATTCGAGTGCATGAACCACTTAACCACCGCCTAGTAGATCTAACTTAGTCGTTATCCTATTATGTTGGGGTAATCTACTTTCTATGTTAAAACTAATAGTTTCTGTTGTTATTTCAAGCCCATAGCTTATTCTACCTCCCGGACAGGCTAATTTATTCATTCTTCCTGAGTCACATTTGAACCTTGTTGACTGCTCGCTTATTGACCTTGACTTTTTATGTAAGTGTGTGTATTTCTTGACCTACTCAATACATGTCTGTAGCTTATTTTTGTTCTGACTATAAATATGGATTAACGCTCGACTAAATCGAGTTGGCTTACACGCCTCTACTGTGAGTCATTTCGCTTCGTCTATGATTGTCTTTTCTGATTAACGATTGTACAAAATATACGTATTCAAAACTTCATTCTCGTATTCGACTTGCTTTAACCCCATCATTTACTAACTCGAGTTAAGTCGATAATTATATACGAGGATCGGTGATATGCTTATTTCGATAGAAATCAGCATACAATCCAACTGGAGTCAGATCTCGGGCCACAAGTCAATAAACTTAACAAAGGCTACTTACTCGGATGGTCACTGAGTACTGTCGTCGAAACTAATGACGTTAAATAGTATTTGTGGCGGTTTCTTATTTTTTGATATCACGAGTACGCCCCTTGAAATAATGACTTGGCTGACTTTTCACTGATTGGTCTGTCTAAAGACTTACTAGTCGGATAAAAGTACACTGGTAATATATTTTTGTCTAATTTGATCATAGAAAGTAAAGTAGTCGGGCGTGCTGGCCATTTCTCTTATCTGGAAAGTCTTATTTGCTCTGGTTAGTCGGTAACTTATAAATTCTCATCAGTGATTCACCAAACCTATTCAGCCCTTACCAGCTTGTAATATCTTCCCCTTAGATATTCTAAAATAGCTACCATAGAATTTCGGTTAGAAGGAACCTAGGAGTGCCCAAACTAACTCATGTTATCAGTCCGTCTCGCTATTCACATCAAGTCTACCATATTTGTAAGTGCTAACTGTCCACTTGGGGTCCCCATGATAAGAATGTTCATCAATTGTGTCTCTTAAATGGATTACAGTAACTCAAGTTCATCCTTTCTGTGCTCTTTTTTATACGATGGCCGAAGATTAGACCTAACAGTTAGGTCTTAGTTGATTGAAGAATGAGTGACCTACAAGCTAATCTCCCCCAATCGCCTATGATATTTCACTATGTTTATTTTGTATTCACCTTTTCATATCAGCATGTTATTATCTCTGTACTAATGTGGTATGGCAACTCGAGGTGATGTACGTACGTACGCAGTTCTATGTTGATGACTGACTGACATAAGCATATTATTTCTTTACACAAAAAACTACTCATCTGGCTAGTATTCCTGTCCTTGATTTCTAATCATCCAGGGGCCCAAGTCAATAATACAGTGTCGTGTGTGTCCATCACTCAGTCACATATCTTTACACCCATCTTTCGATTATTAGTATATTCATGGATTTCAACAGACGAAATTTTGTCTTACCAAGTTACAGAAAGTCTCCTTTAGAACATCTTTAAATACTGGTTATTATTATTATTCTATTCCTCTATTTCGTTCCTTCTTTTCGAACCATATGTTTTATGTCCAATCCTTCTACTACATCTAGTTCTTTACTATATGTCATTGGTTTTCTCTCGCTGTTTATCCATGTTCTAAAAGCTTAAGCTGATACACATTTGTCCCATATTCTAGGTTATTTATAGATTGATTGTTGTTCAGCTTAAAAACACGTGTAGGTCAGGTAAGTTGTGAATCAAAATCAACTAAAATATTTGCACTATGGGTTTCGCTTTTAAACTGCTACTTTAAAACAAGGTTTTTCTGTGTATGTTTATTTTCTCATATCTATTCAAGTCAGTTTTGAGACGAGGCATAGGAGTGAAAAAAGTGTTAGTTACCATTTATCCCAACATGTTAATTTTATAACTAGTACTGTATTAACTGTTGGAGTTTCCTTAAGTTTTACTAGCAACTATTTAACACCTAACTGTCTAGGAACATCAGACTTATCTAAGTTAGCATAAAATAGATACATACTGCCTCCATTTGAAGGGTACTTTAAACAGCGTATTTGAGTTTCGGCTCAATCACTTAAGCTTCTATTTATATTAGGCTTTCATCTGTAGTTATAAAGAATCAGGTGGTCATAGGTAAAGCTCCACACGACTAAAAATCAACTTCGCTTAATGAATCCATTCCAGTATGAAGAATCTAAAAAACATATGTCTATTTCCTTTTGTTCTGTTACTTATTGGCTGATTTTTTGTCATGTGATGTGACATGTTAAGACACTAACGTACCGACACCATTTCCTACGAATTTGTTGTATGCCGTGGTCTTAAAGTACTCAACTTTTGTAGGCTTCATTATCAAGGTTTGATTTGATAATTCCAAATAAATTGGGCATTGGGTAGATTGTTACTGATAAAAACTAATGTATTTGTAGTATCCCAATGAGTAGAAAAATTAAATTTTTAAATCTGACGTTTCGTGACTCAGTGTAGGATGCTTCTCCAGAGAATAAATAAAATCTCGGAGGAAGTGACTTATAATGAGTCGCAAAACGTCAGAAAACTTAAAAATTCAATTTTTCTACTCATTTGAAATATTACAAAAACATTGTTTTTATTCATATTAAGCTTTTTTCATTTACAGTGTCGCCAGATCTTATTGTTATTTAGTTCAACGTTTTATTTATTGTATTTAAAGTACAAAAGTGAACCTCTGGTTTTACTTTTTTAATACTTTTTGGCAGTTCCAGATCGAATTGTCAGAATGGTCAATTCAGCAAGCAAAAGACGTCTTGGTAAATTAGATACATTTATGGTGCTCGAATATCTCTGGTATTCTGATTCCTTTCTAACTGACATATCTTTTGTGTAGTTCAAAAAACGTGCCTCCAGTGTCTGTTCTCACAGCTCTATTATTCATTGAGAAACTTGTAGTAGCCGATCCTTATTCATCTTTATTGACTGAAGTTACAGCAGTTGATCTTTTTGCTGTATCAATGGTTAGTGAAATGTGATGTAATTATTTTAACTTCTTCAAGGTAGTGGCATCCAAATATCTACATGACGATGATACGGACTATGGAATGTACAATGCAGAATGGGCAGACGAATTCGATATGGATCTCAAAGAGTTGAATGAACTTGAAGTCAAATTCGTTTCCGCTCTTAATTGGGAGTTTTTTGTAACTAGAGCACAAATACTCCAATTTGGTTTGGAGATCGGGGTCTTCCGTCAGATTACCAAGTCTGATTCATTTGGCGACAAACCTGAGTTCAATGTATATTCTATGTTGTCACATATTTCTCAAATCTTTTTGAAGTATTCTAGGCACCGTACTTCACCCGAAATTAAGAGAGTAAGCAAAGTAAGTTTTTGTTTTCGCACGAACTGTGAAAGGTGTCCTGTTATTTATCAAGTGAAATATGATGTATTATCAATTTGAATATTTATAATAACCAAATAACTGAATCTGCACGTCTTTTAACTTACATCAAGTCATGTGTGTGCAATTAAGTTAGTCAACTATCTTGAATTACTCTGAGTCAGTGTTACGCCGATTTTATTTGTCTGGATTATGGACTTCGACCAAAAGTTAACCAACAGGGAAGATGTTACATTTCGTGTATGGATCTAATAGTCAGCATTAAAAATTTGTCTTAAGTCGATGAAGAGACTAACTAGCTGAATGCTTGTGTCGGTTATGATCAGTCTCCCAATTGTTTGAGAAGTAATAAGAGACTATTATTAATATCCAGTGAATTTTAGGTGTGAAATGCATCCATTTTGCAACTTTTAGTTTAACCCAATCATTCTTGTGTTGATAAAGTTATAAAAGAGTTCTGTTTGTCTAATCGTCATCTGTTTACTTGCACTTTTAAACCGTAGTTGTTTTACTTTCAGATTCTATTAGTCTTGGTGCTCGCTTATCTGGGTACTGACCAATTTTCTCAATGTTCTTTGGAGACACAATACTCTGATCAAAATCAAACACATATTTCTGCAATCGTTGTAGATCAATGTCCAGATAATATTCTGTCAAATATGACTCATTCAGACGAACTAACAAATGTTACTAACCAAAATATTGAAGTATGTACAAAAGACTTGACATGCAGATATCATAGCCAACATGAATCCGTATCTTACTCGTATTTTAAAGAAACTGATCCGACTACACGAATGATAGACTGTCCAACATGAAAGTTTACCCAATTATCTAATTCCTCAAGTATTTCCACTCAGTAAATCTTAATATTTTCCACTATTCAGGTACTCCAAGATTCCCAATGGTACTAACATTTCTATTATTTTAATACCGATCTTCATCAGTTGTGTATATAAAGAAAATGTTTTGAATGTATCCTTCCCTCCACGCTTGTTTTTGATCGTTTTTAATGACTAATCTGAGCAAGTTATGCCAAATACTAAGTGAATGGGATGATATTGTTGCTATCATGTTTTTGTTTTTAAGACACAAACAAGTGTCTTCATTATTAGTAGTCCTAACGAACGACCACTCAAGTGGGGGCAACCGATTGTATTTTAGTGCGAAATTACAGTATCTTGATAAAATATAAAAACCGTACATAAAATACTTCATTTTCAAATTTCCATCACTTGTCCTTCACATTCTATACGATTCTTCCAGTCCATAATCCCTTTCTATTCTCTTCAACTTGATCTTCTGTTGCCCGGTTTTCCACTTCCGATTGGTGTTACATACTACTTATGTCCGTCAACATAAGTGGCATACACTACACGTCCTCATCCTAAGGAATGGCATAACAAGAAATTCGTAATTACATTGAAAATGAAATTTTCTGTGAAATTCCTAAATTCCCAGTCATCGATTTGAACCGTTTTCGAAATTGACAGTTAGTGTAGTGTATAATTTAGCTACAATCAGTAAGCTGCGTTGCCGTTACCTGCCTTCAAAATCGAAGTTTTATTCGACAGCCTAGTTATAATGTCACTTTCTATGAAAAAGTGACTAAGATCCGAATATGTGGGCGTAATTGGTTGCCGAGTCACGCCGAATTTAGTCTAAACGAATTGTAGTTTGTTAACATTTGAAGACCTATTACAAACCATCTTTTCTCCACCATCTTATCCTCTCAGATTTCTCACTTTGTTCTGTTATACACTGGTTCTTCAAGTATTACTGTATATTCGCATAGTCTTGATATTAACAATGAACATATAATGTTGTTTTAAAACCTCTATCCATAGCTCTAAGAATAATTACTTGATTATATACTGATATTGGTTCGTGGAAGAGTGCTTTCAAATCAAACGAACTCCTTACAAACCCACCTATGCAAATAATAATTACGTGCCCACTGAGGACGACTTCTTTCTTTCTGTTGGGGACGTTAGATCCCCAGAACTCACTTGAGGAAGTATCTGATTTCGTAATTTTATTTAGAATATTTGGGTTTCTTTGTTTTCACGCCAAAAGCGCTCTTGTCACCATGTCGTATTTCCCACTGGGAAATATCTTAAATGCTATTGGTCCGTATTGTATTTGGTAACTCTCCCCAAGGACGGTTTTGTACTGTATATGTACGTTTTGAATTGTTTGTTGTTATCACTCGTTTCTGGCTGTTTGCAGAATATACTTCCCCATTCCAAGCTTGGACTTCTTCCTCTAGGTAGCGGGGCTGGGGCGCATCAAATAGCTAGCTGGTCTTTGATCACTGAGTCTTTGTTCTCGTTCGCAGATTAAGTGAACGCGTGATAGCTTCAACCCTAGCACTTTCATCTTCCGATTAACCGTGTGAGAGCGTGATTTTTAATTAACCAAGTTTAGCATGCGGATTACTCCTTTATGACATTGGGCGGTAGTTGCACTGGATCACAGACTAACCGAAGCTGGAAAACGTAGATCATTAGTATCTAAGTAGTGGGATGGTGTCGCCATGGAAGCAAGACCTACAGTTTGCGGTTTTGTTTTAGCACGAACAGTTGGGAACGTGGACAAAGTAGGTGCTAATAGCCTTCTATTTTGTATTTTTGTCGAAATTCGCCACATTTTAGTGGTTCAAGTAGATAAATTTATGATAATTATTTGACCCAACAGTAGGCAGATACATCGAAGACTTAAGAATTCGAAACTAGTGTTCCAATGATCCTTGTGAACAAAAGTACACGGACCAGGAGTCCCGAATACTAACCGCTAAACTTGATTTACTTTATCTAAAATGATCGGTTCCGTAGTCGCTTAACGTCTAACTGCAGCCCTCAAGCGTGCTAGTTCGGCTGAGCGCGGGGATAAAGAGTCGGCTGCAGTACCTATCATCATTAGATGTCTAAATGATTACTTGAGTGTACTACCGTTAACTCCCATTGTTTTCCAGTTCGTGCGAAACGTGTAAAAGACTTACTCATAAGGAACAGGCCATTTTTCGTTTAAATGGTGAATATACCGATTACGCCACCAACCCCATCAGATAATCCAGCATCGTCACATGCATAACACACCAACAATCGTCGTTTCGTAACAATAGAATTGCCTTTCATTCGCTGTACACGATTTTACTATGGAAATACGTGGATGCCTCCTAGGTTTATAAAGACATATACGAAGTAGGTCCTGGCGCACATAAAGCGATGGAGAAAGCCTCTCTACTGATGTTCTAGGAACAGTTCTGACTTTTTTAGATTGTATCTAAGTACAGCTAGGGAAATAGAAGTAGAGAAACTAGGGGAGTATATGTATCTCTATATGTGTATTTGGAGCAAATAGACACAAGACAAACGAGTGTTATTTCTACGAGTAGCTTTTACTGTAGTTAAATTAAGATTAGATTTATTTATCATTGAGTGTTCCAAAATGTAGAGCTAAGCAAACAGTAACCGAGGATTTTCGCTTCCAGATTTTAAAATATTGAGTAGCCGCAGCTGAGGTTTATGTAACTATATTTCAATAAAATTTATGTGATGATTTTAGTGATTTATTCTGTACAATCAAGTATTTCAGTAACTTTAGCTAGTGAACTATCATTGTTTGCATACTGTTTTTTATTTGTCTCTCTTTCTCCTGACGGAAGTTCAACTGGTTGATTTTACGTATCTTTCGTCGCAGTTGACGGTGTTCCTTGATAGCGGCTTTACGTAAGCGCTTTTGTTCTAAAGACTCTCCCTTTTCTCTCGCAAGTAACCCAGGGTCTAGCGGTTTTGGAAATTCCATAATACCATCGTTGTTTTGAGAACCTTCCTTCGTGGATGACTTCTTTTTCGTCTTACTAGAACTGGGCATTGTTAGATGGTTGTGCTTCATAACATTTAGGTTCGAATTACCTATTAAAAAGTACATAGTTAAAAATCGAGTTAAAAAGTAATTATAACTAAAACTGTATAGCGATTATTTCTCTATATTCACACCTTGAATAACTTTAACTGATCACATATTCAGTTAGAAGTCACGATCAACATAGAACCTGACACGTCTCCACTAGCCAAAGTTTTCATAACACATTAGCACAACGAAATGAACAGCAATGGAGTCGAAATAATGAGACCAGTGATAATGAAACAGACTCAGCATAAACAATATGGTTAGTGAAGAATAAACAAAAAGACATGAAGGAATACGGAAAATAAAGAGGGAATGGATCTCCGTCATTGTGACCCATTCCAAGTTATACCACCTAATATCTTCAACTACTGAGGCAGTTGTTGAGAGGAATCAGATTGCAGATAGTGTGCCCATAGGACAGATGTTGACGCAGACCAGTCCTGAAACATTTTACATTCGGAGGGAAACACAATAAAAAAACTCGTTGATATCTTCATCGAATAAGACTATCATCTGCGCATTCGATGTCGATGAACAAACCTGGTAGGAGACCAAGTCCTGATAAGTTGTTTGAGAATGCCATTTCTAGAACATCGACGACAAAATTAGATGGGAATAGCGGAAGCTATTAATCGCTGTTTCTCGATATCAAGGCCGTCTTCAGTCAGTCGGGTAGGATTGTGTTCTAAGACCACCTGTTGAAGAAGTGTCTTAAGAAGTTAATTAACATCTTGAAAGTTTTTTACATAGACAACTCAGGCAGACAGAGGATACACCACATCTTTCTACTTTTCCATTCCAGCAGTAAGGTTAAGCAGAGTTTCTTAGTCTCATCATTCCCCAACTTTGCAGCTGGTGAAATTCTGCAAACAGAGTGGGTGGTGGGAGTCTAGATTTGTTACCTGGAGTGGAACCTGACTAAACTAATGACACCGTATTTTGTGCAACGATACCAATTATTGATTTACTACTTTTCTCTCCTTTATTTTATTCACGGTATTATAGCTTTAATTCTGGTGTTTCGGTGGTTTACTTTATCAGGAATTATTTGATTAGGTGGATATATTAGATGTTAATCGAATCAAAACCCTGAGGACTAAAGGTCGATTTATCAAACCATGAATCAATATGCACATTCATGAGATAAAACCATAAATGAGAGACACAATGTCTACTATGTCTTAATTAACCTTTTTGCATAGTGGCAGTGTGGAGATTGTTGAATTTATACTTTGTATCATTTCAGTTAGGTAATCAGAAAGCATTGAACATTTATTTGGTTTTATTATAGGACTCCACAGCAGTGGGTATCCACGATAACACAAAATATCTAACTCAAGACCTTCTAACTTTTCGGCACTCAGTGAGCTACATTCCCAACTTCGGTCAATTCACGATCATCATCCAGTTGAATCGGTGATATTCGTCCTACACCTGACAGTTTTTCAAAATGTTATATCAGCGCTAATAAATGTTAACCCGCCAACTCATATACATAAGTAGTGTATTTTCTTAAAATAAAACGCTTTTTGATACTGTTTGCATCACGAAAATGCGTCTAAACTAATGAAAATAAGAAAAATGCTTACTGTTAGAACATGAAATGGTCATTCGTTCAGTGTTTTCTCCGTCATATGTGGAATTGCTTCCACTGTCTTCGTCTTGATCCACTCCATTCAATTCGAAACATTTTTTTATTGTTATGGCTTTTAGATCATCATCAAAATCCGTATAATCTTGTTTTACTCCCCTTAAATGAACAAAATGAGGATTTGAGGTGATAAGTAGTTACTCCGATTAATATATCTATATATAAGCATATATGTGCATACCAGCTGATCAACTACGATATAACTGTTAACTCCATAGACTTGTTCAGGAAATTTTCCTGATGCATAGAAATCAAATAATAAGTGTGGAGTGTTTGTTTCTTTCTACTCTAGGGATGAATAAGTAAACACTGTACGATTAAATACTTTTTGTTTTCCTGTCGAAAACAATTGTTACTCGGTATCTGAACCCAAGTTTCTACATTAAGCTTCAAGTCGCACTTATGAGAAAACGGCTAAAACCAAGGTAAATGGAACGCACTTTTAGACAATAACTATCAATAGCTGATTGTTTAAACCACCAAGTCACAGAGTTCCATTTTGTGGACATTAAAGTACTAATATTAGCTTTCACACACAAACCTTACCAGCTGCAGCAATAATAGAGGTGAATTGCAGTCTACAATTTTGTTTCATCATCGCGACCGCCTACTTTTTGGATTTACATACAATAACAGCTATATTTTCCAAATAAACGACTTACCCCTTAGCAATTGCTATGTCACGACCAAGAGCATATTTCAAGCCTTCGCTCATCACTGACGTTCCAGAGACTAAAGACTGACTGCAACTTGACCGGGATTTGTATCGTAACATTAACTAAAGTCATAGTATGAGTAATCGAGTTTGTAAATTACCTTTTCGAACTCTTTATTCAAGGAGGTTGAGTCATCTGGGTAGTCATCAATTCCGTAACCCTTGGTAAATTGCCCGGAGCTCGAAATTGTGATATCTGAATTTTCGTTGGCACCGTAAAGAAAACGTTCCATGAGCGCGACTTTATCTTTAGAAAGCCTTGAGATATCTGTTTCTGTTGCCTTTGCATTCAATGAATTGCTGTCCCCAGCCACTTTAGCATCATCACTATCGGTTTCTGAAGATTTTACACTGTGACCACCTGCAAGCTCGACAAAGTTATCCTCTAATTCACTTTCCGTGTCGAAAGACTCTGCTTCTGAATCCATATTAAGGTCACTTATAATATGTTCATCGTAATCAACTTCAGGTTCACGTATTCCAGATGAGTCAGAATGACTAGAAGCATTGCTGACACAATCTTCAGGTATTACAGATATAGTCTGGAAATAAAGTAAAGATAGATGAATGTAGGACATAAGAACGGTATGGAATATAAGTTATGTCTGAACATTGTACAGGGTATCACGTCATAGATGGGTAATTCACGAGATCCTATGTAATAAAAATACATAAACCCTAAATCAACACAAACTACGATGAGACCATAAATTATAGACGATTTTTGAGCGATTATAAGGTAACCTTGGTAGAGTTCAACCACTTAACAAGATCAGAATATGGTTGCAAACTATTGAGATTAGGAAAAGCCACCAGCATCGTGATTAAGGTTTGAGAATTAGTCACAGTGTTCATTACGAACCGGCATCAGCTGTAGCGCTAGGACCCTATTCAGTCAATAGATAAATGAATTTCAACCAGATATACAAGCGCTGTCTTAAATCTGATTGGTTGGTCAATGAAAAAACATTTTACTCTTCCGCGGTTTCACAGTCTGTGTTTATAGAACAAGAATGAAAAACTTTACCTTCAAGGTTAGCAGAGGCTATCTTATTTTCATAAGTTACGTCAAAAGACTAAATTCCGGAACTTACGTAGGCCTCTTTATTATCAGCAGATTTGAGATGTTGCATGTAGTCGTACCCATCATCAAAAAACACCCCATAGTTAAAATGAATAGGGACTCCTGGCAAGGGTTTCGATAATTCCTTTTCGACTGGCTTTAGTTCACACTGTTTGAAATCCTTTCTGCTGAATTTTTTCATCATGAAAGACTAGTTGATTTGTCAGAGAGAGCAAGATGCGCCGAACGTGGCAGCTGATAAATTACTGAAATGACCGCCTATGTAACTCCTCAGTCCATCCACACTATTACGTTACAGTCCTATTTGCCGCTCTTCAAAGTTCAGATGGTTCTGGACGGAATAGAAGAAGCTTTCGCCTTATGGGCTTCCGTATCTAGTAGCAGTGGATCACCGATACCGACGGATAATAACCTAGGTATATTTAATGGCTGAAAAGAGAGAAAAGTCGGTAAATTATAGCGATGCACAGTCCTTATTCGCATTCAGACTTCGGATTCAGATTTGTGTAGCAAGGACAGAAGGCCTACTGCCCATGTTATTCCTTTTCTAGTATGCTTCTATGAGTGTCCAGTCTTCTCTTGAATGTGACAATTGAAGGTGCAAACACCACTGCTTCGGGTAACAGGTTCCAAGTAATGATGACTCGGTGTGAAAACCTGTATGCCGCGGGTAGTTTGTTCATTCTTGGCTTTTCTACTCGCCTGCTATGTCCTCTGAGATGTCCCGGCCTAGTGAGAAGAAAAAGAGAGGATATGTTAGGTCCAAAATCGTTTCTTATTATTCTATACATCAAAATTAGATCGCCCCTTAGTCTGCGACAGGACAGAGTAAAGAGGTCCAGATTTTCAATTCGTTCATTGTATGGTAAACCCCGTACTTCTGCAATTGCACGGGTAGCTACCCTCTGTACTTCTCCCAGGATATCCGAGTCACCTTTTAGACAGGGGCTTTCAGCCTGAACGCAGTTCTCAAGCCTAGTTCTCACTAAGGATGTATATACTGTGGTGAACATGGTAGTATCTAACTTAGTGAATGTCAGCCTTAAAGCCCACGGGATTCTAGACCGATTAGCTGCGACCTCCTGGCAATGGGCCGTCGTCTTAAGATCATGACTCACTGTCACCCCAAGATCCTTATGAAACTGGACCACGAATACATGCACTTCCCCTATGTTGTACCTATTAACCTTCGAGTCCCCATTATGCATGTAGACACGCTATGCCGCGTTGATAAGCATCAGCCACTCTTAAGACCAGCTAATCATATTATTTAAGTCTGCCTGAAGAGCACATGCGTCTGTATCTCCGGTTATTGCTCGCCAGATCTTTACATCGTTAGCGTACAATAACATTGGAGACTGTACTATACTTGGAAGATCATTTACACACATTATAAAAGGTAAAGGACCTAGGACGGAACCTTGAGGCACTACACTAAGTACTGGTCTCCAGATGGAGCAATTGGGATTTATTCTTACTCTCCGTTTACGACCTACTAGGAAATCCTTAATCCATTTTAAGAGAGGTCCGGCAATACCGAGATTTTCCAACTTCAATAGCAGTTTATTTGTTGGCACCTTGTCAAATGTTTTACCGAAGTCTATGTAGACAACATCCGCTGAGTTCCCGTTGTCCAGCGCTTTTATTAAAGACTCCCTTGCTATAAGGAGATTTGTTGTGTAAGACAAACCCTTTCTGAAACCATATTGTTCGCTGTCTAACATGTTGTTGGTCTCCACAAATGTCATTATGGTATTTTGACTATTCTGTCAAATATTCTAGCTACAACACTGGTGAGGCTGATAGGTCTGTAGTTCGATGGAAGTTGTCTTGGTCCTGTTTTATGTATAGAGTGACGATTGCATCCTTCCAGTACATAGGTAACACACCTTGGTCAAGTGAAATATTGAATATTACAGTCAGTGGGATTTTGGAGTGTAGTTCATCTGGTCCTGTTGACTTTTCAATGTCTAATGTGCTAAGAGCCTTAAACACATCGTCTTGATCAAAGTCCATAGTGAGCAAGCGGTTTGTTGACTTTGTATTTGCATCTAGTTCTTCGCCCAGAAGAGGTTCCTGAATGAAATCTGCCACACAATGTTTAGTCATGGCCTCTTCATTTTTTATCTTCCTCTATCATTTCAGATTCACTCCCTTCTTTAATTATGTTGGGAGTCCAATGATGCATCCTTGTTCTGTAATTTATGTACGAGAATAGTCTCTTAGGCTGCTTGAGTACAGATTATGCCACCTGCATTTCATATTTTCTTTGAGCTTCCCGAATTTTTGTTATACACTCGTTTCCTACCGATATGTAGCGTTCCATCGTGCTTGCCGTGCTAAGGCGGATGGCAACATCCCAAAATTTCTTCTTTTGTCTTAGTAAACGTCGGATACTCCGGCCTATCCGAGGATGGCCGTGCTTCTTCTTCTTTGGAACTGTCCACGGTATGTATGGTTGAGTTACCCGATTGTATAACTGCCTAAAAAGATTCCATGCCTCTTATGCTGATGCCCTTGATTCAATTTCCCGGTTTTCAGCCGATGCTGCAGAGTTTATTGCCTCCATATCTGCCTTCCATGTATTAGGACGGGCCGGCGCAACTGTTTGACAGGTCATCCCAGCCATGAATTTGAATAAGATGACGGCATGATTACTTCTCCCTAGTGGTGGGAGGAAAGTCATTTGACCAACGTCATCACAGTGTGTGAAGGCCGAATCCGAGAGAATAGGTCACGTTTTCTCTTGAAAGATTCCTGGGGAGTTGTCTGGACTATCTCAGGAAGATATTTGCCTTGATGATTAAAGATAAAGTGCTCGCGTTAGTCATCACCTAGTAAGCTTCGATGCTCGTCCAGTTTTTTTCCTTAATCACACAACTGAAGCTGCAAATCAAACTGTCAGCAGTAGGTTTTGGTAGGAGGGGAACTTGGGAATATGGTTGAAGGAAACTTAATTCGCAAACCGTTTATGTAGTTTTTGTAATTTGTTGTGATTATATTCAATGAACAGCAACACTGTATCGACCGATGAATTTTTTTCTAAGTTGATTTTCATTATTCATGTTTCCTTTTCATTTGTCTGACTGTTTACCGGTCTCTAAATACACGTATCAACATACACACCTCACTCTGACTTTTTTTGTTAATGTTTCCTAACTATTTACTGAAAATCCCGTTTCACATGTTTCATCCTACGTCATACAACGTATTCCCTGTCGGTTGTAAACGAACACTTGAGATATACGTTGAGTATTCCTTGGGATTATTTCTCATTATCATAACTGTGGATATATATTGGGGCCTGTGAACATACATCCCATTAACAATAACAAATAACTCATATGTCTTGTACATACTTGCTGATCGTCAACGTAGATGGTCTGTATCGAATTACTGAGGGCACACACGAGTTTGATCAACCAGATAACGTCTAAGTCACACTTCACAGGCAATACCCAACGTGAATCACTCTTTCGTCATATCCAGGTGTAATGGCTACTTTGACGACCGCACAATACAAACAACATTGTCATAGAAATATATGAGTAAGAGTAGGTACAAGGGACAAAATGTGACCACAACCAAAAGGGCCAGTCAAGACTGGAAATAAACTTAACTCCGGCCCATAATTTGGGAAGTCTACTCGTGGGGCCCTGAATTTTGTCGCCATTTAGATCGGACAATATTGTCAAAAGGGTTCTCCACTTTAGTGGCCCGAGATCTGACTCCAAGGAGATCGTAATGATGACTGTTGCTGAAATTTATATGTCGCCTATCATCGTATATAATCATCGACTTTAATAGCGTTAGTCAGTAACGGATTTAGATAAGTCAAATAACGAGAATGGACTTTTGAATACATATATTTTGTATATGAAGTGAATGTTATAGAACCAAGCAACACGACGCGCAGTGGAGATGGCGGACAAACCAACTCCCCTTTAACCAAATGGTGATCAATATTTATAGTTACACAAAAATAAGTTACAGACATGTGATGAGTAATGGAATAACAAGTGTACACACACTTACGCGCTCATATAAAAACGGTCAAGATTGATAAGCGAATAATCAACAAGGTCAGAATGTGACTCAAGCAGAATGAATAGAATGGGCTGTCCGAAAGCTAGAATAAGGTATATGGGCTTAATATAATACCCGATACTACGTACTTAGAGGCCAATCAGAATGAAGTGAAAATCAGCATTCCCACCATCTTTGTAAACAGTGGCCGTCGATTTGCCTAGTCCTGTCTTCTTCCTCAGCCTTTCTTGTGTCGTTGAAAAATTTACTCCGTTTTATATTTGTTCCAAAGTGTTATTTATGATGTTATCGATTAATATGAAAGGAAGCGGTCCTCGTTTTGTTGTCCTCTTCAGTACTACGGATAACCCTCTTCTGTAAACGAGTCAACCCAATGCTAACTGCCCAGATATGCATACTAGCGGTATATTAGAAATCATTATGAGACCCGGTCACCTGAAAATCTGGGAATAAGTTAGAGATGATATTGATCTATTGGGAAAGGTTTGCTACTGAATATATGGCATCATTAAATCACTTGGGTGCATTACGTGATTTATGAAATCAGGTTGAACGATGGATAACCAGAAACTTGTTACGAGGATAGTGTGTATGTTCGTTGCTCTGGCCATAAAAGGAAGCCGGAGTCCCATGTTCAGAGAGTAAGGCGGTAAATAGCTGCTATAATGCTCACACCTTCATGGATCAAAGCTTACCGGTTGCAAAGCTATATTTAATTTTGATATGACCTCAACTGATACATAATGACTTCGTCCGAGATGATCCACAACCATCCTTGCAATAAAACGTATCTGATGAATAACGTGTGGCTCAGAAGACTAAGCAGCGATCGGTTGCGTGTTGCTATACTGAGTGATTCTGAGCAGACTGTCGATTTTTTTTACGGCTTATCTACTTACAACATTGTCCTCATTCCGGAAGTCTGTTTACAGCGAAGCAAGCAAGTAGTTCAAGGTTATTGTACTGTGTAACAGCCTTGAGATTTCGGCTTTCCTCTACTCGGGTTATGTTTTCGAACAAAGTTCTTGTAGTTCCAGGGGTTAGCACTTCCTGGAACACTGTTTATTTCGATAGCACTCATCGTAACACTGTGACTACACTCACATAGTAAGTAAACATTCTCTTTCCAAACTAACATTTAGATTTTGATTAATGCACCTACTTAGCTAACATCTCTATTCTGTAATTCAGAAGATCGATGTTAATCTGTAGTCCTTGTTGTTTTTATGGGTAGAATCATGGGTTGGACAAAAAACATATGAGTAATGCAAGCGGTTATAAAACCAAAGTGAGCATTTAGCCTTTTTCAGAAAATTTGGAGGTGATTTGCTACGATCTTCCGTAAATAGTTCCATAGCCGCATAATTCTGACGATGAAACAGTTTGCAAGTAGATCTGTCAAGGCTCGTTCCTGTTCCATTCTAAACAAACAAATAGTAGTAGCTTCAGTGGCGAGACTCTAATTTAAGGACAACCTTTGAACGAATCTTAAGTGACCTTGACAATTAT